CATGAGAGGGGGGAGGGTCAGAGGGAGAAGCAGGCTCGCCGCTGAGCTGGGAGCCCGATGTGGGACTCAATCCTAGGACTCCAGGATCATGACCTGAGCCGAAGGCAGTCGCTTAACCGACTGAGCCACCCAGGCGCCCTCATTTTCTCTTTACTCAGACTCATCAGTTTCATCCTGTGCTCTGAGGTAGATTGGTTTCATCATTACTTCTGAAGAGTGCATTTCATATTGGTTGTCTACACAATCTGTTTTTGTTTGGGTGTTCTGTTGTATATATACCCTCACCTCCATTCCCTAACACAAAGTAAACTCATCAGAGCTGGGTTTCAGATAGCACAGCTCTGGTTTGTACCCTGGCATGTGCTGGAATTTTGCCATTGATTATCTTCATTTGACATTTAGAGTCAAAGATGGCTTATAGCTCATGTGTATGCATGCTATTTTCTCTGTTTAGGAAAATCTTTACTTGTATTTCATTTCTGGGCCTTCCTGGATCCTTTGTGAATTGGGCTATTCTCTATGCTCCCGTAGCATCTATCCCCTCTCATGCTGTTTCTCTCTCTCTCTCTCTCAAATAAATAAATAAATAAATAAAATCTTTAAAAAAAAAAATCTATGTAGAAAGAGTCAGAAATAACCAAGGTATATTAATTATAATAGGCGATACATATGTAATACTTATTTTGTGCCAATCACTGTTCTGAGCACTTTGTCCGTATTCTTTTAATCCTCATAACCTTAGGAGGTAAATGTTACTATCTTCCTTTTACAAAGAAGGAAACCAAAGCAAAGAGAGGTTTAATTTGTCCAGTGCCACACAGTTAATAAGGGGTAGATCTAGAATTCATACATAGATAGCCTGGCTTCAGAATCTGAGCTCTTAACTGTGACGCATATAGTCCCTCTTCATATAGTATACTTGACTGGCAGTGACTAGAATAATATGTCCATTCGAGGAGATCTTTTAAAACCCACTCTTGATTGTCCTCTATGTGCCTCAAAGTATCTTAGATTCTGAGGATATCAAGACATAGAAACAAATAATTACAGTACAGTGTTACCAGTCCTATTACAGAACTGTACACAAGTGCATTGGGAGCAAAGATGTTTGTGGGAACAGGGAAATTTCACAGGAGAGATGATGTTTCATCGAAGTTATACATGGTGCAAAGCAGAGTCTGGGAAAAGACATTGTAGAGTCAGGGGATAGCATATGTAGAAGCACAAACTCTGAAATAACAAAGTGTGTTAGAGAAAGTCTAGTAGTTTACTGTGGCTTGAGCTTAGTCTGTAGGAGTGAGCTTAGTCAGTAGAAGTGAGCTTAGTCTATAGGAGTAGGGAATGATAAAAAGTAGACCAAGATGTGAATGGCATGATGAGGTCAAGGAAAATGAAGAACTTAAATATTTGCTTTGCATATGGGAAACTACATAAATAATTTCAGCAGATTGTTTGCTATTCTCTTTAGATGTGCAGTGGTGGGGTAGCTTGAGGGAACAGTCTGAGTAGAGGGGGGTTTTAGAATAGACTTTATTATTTATTTGTTTATTTTAAGTAATCTCTACACCCAACGTGGGGCTTGAACTCAACAACCCCAAGATCAAGAGCCACTTGCTCTACCAGCTGAGCCAGGCGGGCCCCTCTGGAATAGATTTTAAATACTGGAGAAGATAGGTTACACAGGCACATGAAGCCAAATTTTTAGGTTCTTAAATAGCTAAAATATTTGGCATTATTATTGACCCTTTAAAAAGCTTCTGAAGATAAGAGTGACGAGTTTAAAGTAGTGTTTTAGCTAGATTCATCTACCTATAATGTCAGAATGATTTGGAGGATGGAAAGAGACTGGAAGCAGGAAGGCAGATAAATAGTAAGGTGATCGGTGCCTAAATTATGTTAGTCATGGTAGAGGGTAGAAAAGAAGAGACAAATGGGAGAGACATCATGAAAGAAGATTAGATAAGCTATAATTTAATGGATAGGTAAGAGGCAACAATTGACCCCATTGACTTAGGCAGTTCAAGAAGGGTGATCTTAGATGGGGGAAAAAGATACGACTTTTCTTAGAAGTCAGTGCATTTATATCTATATGTGTGCACCAGCATGTGTGTATTTATTTGTGTATTGTTTTTAGACCTTTCTATTTGAGTCAGAGGCAGAATATCCAAGACAATGATACATAACTGGAATCAAAGATCCCAGCCAGAATTCTTGAAATTATTTTGTTTGAGATAGTGATACTTCAAGTCCTATGTCTTCATATGTTGGTATTTTTAAAAAATAGTAGATTCCAAATACTGGGTACTTTCATAGCCAGGAGGTAAACCCTAGCAGAGAATTCAGTGAAGGAGACATAAAGAAGCTAAATGAAAGAATTCAGCCACATGATACCATTACGTAGAAATCAGGAGATAAGAGAAATTCAAGAAACAACCGGTCAACAATGTTCAGAAACACTCCTTGTTACAATGTCTACAGTCTCTTTTTCATTCTGTGTCTGTCTAGTATATCTTAATGAGACTTAATGAGGAATTAGTTAGCTAATGGATCATGACTAAGAGAACTATATGTGTTGAAATGTGGCTGTAGCATAGGTTATTATTTTAAAGCTTTATGTTTACATATTCAGAGCAGGAGCTTTATTCCTTTCAGCGCAGTAAATCTGTTGCACTGTTAAAATTTGGATGTTCTGCCTCCAAATTTTCATTTTCTCTTTTTTTTTTTTTTTTT